CCCCCCTTCCATGCATTTCGGGACCTCTTGAAACATATGAAATTTAAAATGTCCATACTGGTACTCATAGGACAGTAAGAGCAAGAAGCTAAGGTTTATTCCTATTACAATAGGTTTGGCTACATGAATTATTTTGCACCAGTGCAATCTTCCAGACGTAGTAACCAACCTCAAGTGGAAGATGTCTTAGGAACAGCGTGAGGGACGCAAACTGATTTGATAATTGGCTGAGATAAAGAACTCTGACAGATGAGCAATCCAGCCTAAGTAAAACCCCAAAAACCTAAGGTTGACATCGGATATGTTATTGTTTGGCCTCATTTTGTAAACCACGACCCCTAAAGAAATTTTTGTTTACTGTACCAGTAGATTTATATAATGTTACATTGTAATTTTAATTTTGTGTTTTCTTTCTCATTTACATTTATTGCTTCTGTGACTTGATGGCTGCAGTTGGAAGAAACTGGTCTTCTGTAAGTTTAGTAAAGTTTGGAGGGATATTTATAGATCAGTTTTGCTTGCATATATCAGATGAATATGAACATAACCACAAATCCACATCGTATTATAACGTAATTCTGATATTACACTCTTTATCTTTCATTTCTTGATGCTGATGCTTGTTACTACTTTTATTCATACCTTCTTTGCTTTCTTTTCTGTTTCTCATTTTCTTTGTTTCCTGTTCTTTTAGCTTTTCTTTTATGTAGATCTGCTCATTTTAGCATCTTTCAACTTTTGATAATTTTGCTAGATCTAGGCCTTATGATTTTTAATCACTAGTTTTACATCTATGGCCTCCATTCTGGTCCTTTATGTGATATTAGCATTCTGTTTGGGAGCCACTATTTACGTTCATAGAAGTTATATATCCATTCCACTCTATATCTATCCCTATTAAAATTCTAAAATTTTAAGAAAATACTATTCTCATCCACATCACATTCCAATAATGTCCTTATTAAATTCATTGATAAGTTTTAGATAAGAGGCTTATATGTAATAGAATATAGCCTTCTTTTGTACATCGATACTTGAATGTTAACATTTCTATGAGAGTAGGGGTCGAAACTTGTTACCTACCAGAACTTGTAGAAACACTTCAGCTGTTAGGTGGAGGAAAGAGAAAAATAATGATTAATTTGTTTATTTGAGAAAAGAAAAAGGTGTGGGGTGGGAAGGGGAGCGAATTGCTGATATTCCTGGAAATGGCAGTTTTGTAAAAACGGAAAAACCTCAGGTCTTGAAGCAACTTTTTGTGGACTGTCCAGTAGCAAATGATGACAATGACATTTTCAAGTTACCTGCCAGGACATGAATGAAAAAGTTTCTGGTTTATTTGCTTATGATATGAGGTTACAATATTTATTATGAGTTAAACTGAGGGAGAGTTTGCAATATTTTTCTTACCCTGTGCTATATCTGGTTTGTGCGTGAGATGTGTATTTTTCACTTCAACGAGTAAGATAGCTTAAGCTGTTTCTGACTATTACGAATTTGATTATCCATGATAGACAACTTTTGGTTCTTTGGCACCATTCATCTGTAGATGCGTTATGAATATGGTTAATAAAGTTGAACTTCCGCTTCAGGTCTCGAATTCTTCAGATAAACAGAAAACTAAGTTTGGCAAACAGCATACACAGGCAATCCTTCCCTTTAGTGGATGAATTTAGTGTTAAATTTTTACTTAATTTTATATATGTCTATTTAAGTAAATTTACACAAGATAAAGTATAATAAAATTTTCTTTTTAAAAGTGGATTCATATACATAACTTCTGTGGATATAAATAGGAGCTCCGTTCTTTTTTCGTGTTCATTTTAAAATTTTTACTCAGATCTGTATTTTCTCTCCTCTCCCCAATTTTTGTTTGTAACTCATGAAATTTAATATTGAATAAATGATGAATTTATAAAATAAACTTTGTTGGGCTTGAAAATTTTTGGCAGGAATATGGTCATAGAGTAAGACTAGCCACTCACTCAAATTTCGAAGAATTTGTTTTGTCTGCTGGGCTGGAATTCTACCCTCTTGGGGGAGACCCAAAGGTCCTTGCTGCTTGTAAGTTTTCAGTCCAAATGTAACTATTTGTCTATGAATATATTTATTTGGCCTTTCGATGATGTTAACTAATCTGATATTTTCAGCATACTTTGACAACGAATTTTTTTATTAGTTAAGCTCTGTAGAAAGAACCTTTGAATGGAGTATATTCTTGACAGCTATTGAATGTTCAATCAGTATTGTGAGGCATAGTATTTGGGAACAACCACGTCCAGTTCTCAGCAGTGATGAAATTAATTCATGAAGGTGTTAAAACTATATTTGGTTGAAAATGTAAAAATATCAGAAACTTTGGACAGGTACCGATGTATAGTAACTCTATACTTTTACTGCACGACTTCAAAATAATTAATTAATTTTTTGTATAGTCCCGGATTTACTGTGATTTGAGGATGAGAGTACCCTAACTGCACCACATTGAAAGAAATTAATTACTTACCTATAGCATAATAATCTCAGATTTACTTTTATTAGAGAAATAAGAGGAATCCCTCTGGGTTTGAATCGAGGTTTTTGTGCTGGAAATTTGACAGATGATACATAACTTCAAGGTTCTCAGAGAGAACAAAGTTGCCCTAAATTGAAAATTACACCATCAAGCATCAGATTCTTTGCAGGTTAAGTCAGCAGGGAAAGCTAGAAATATAGTAACTTGTTCAGTCTGAAAATTATGTCCTTTTGGTTCCTGAAATAGGTTTTTCCAGCCTCTTGTTTCAGTATCTCCAAATGTTTCTCTACTATATCTGTGGGTTATGTGATCTATTAGAATGCCATTATTGTAAGGGAGTATGCCTTTGATTTCTTGGATTGGATCTCCATTAGAAAACTATCATACTTTCCTTCCATTTCTCTCTCTCTGGCTTCAGATTGTAATGTCAAATCAAAGTAATAAAGTTAAACGAAAGCATATTCTTCCCTTTTGGTTCCTGAAATAGGTTTTTCCAGCCTCTTGTTACAGTATCTCCAAATGTTTCTCTACTATATCTGTGGGTTATGTGATCTATTAGAATGCCATTATTGTAAGGGAGTATGCCTTTGATGTCTTGGATTGGATCTCCATTAGAAAACTACCATACTTTCCTTCCATTTCTCTCTCTCTGGCTTCAGATTGTAATGTCAAATCAAAGTAATAAAGTTAAACGAAAGCATATTCTTTTTTGCAGACATGGTCAAGAATAAAGGTTTCTTGCCATCTGGACCTTCTGAAATACAAATTCAACGACATCAAATAAAAGAGATCATATTTTCTTTGCTTCCTGCATGTGTAGACCCCGATCCCATTACAGAAGTTTCATTCAGCGTAGATGCAATAATTGCCAATCCGCCTGCATATGGTAAGACGATGCGTGTATATATATACATACATATATATATATATATCTATATATATATCTATATATATATACATATATATACATATATACATATATATACATATATATACATATATATAATATATATGTATATATATGTATATATGTATATATATGTATATATATATATGTATATATATATATGTATATATATGTATATATATGTATATATATGTATGTATGTATTGACATGCTAGTTAAATTTACATTTACTTTTGAAGACACCATGATTTTTAGCTTAAAAGTCCAAAACATTTTATTGATATCACCCTGCCATCCCCAGCACCATTCTCTTGATCTTTTCTCCAGTGCATCTCCCTCTTTTGCTCCTCTTAAAGTCTTCATTTTCTTCCTTTTAGATTATGATGAAATGAAAAGAATTTTTTGTTAAACAAAGAAGAAACCAACTGTATATCAGCTAATGGACGAACTAGAGTAGCTTATAGATATTCAGGTTTACTGTATCAAATTTATGGTGCATAATTCTATATTAATTCTGAAGGACTGCAAATGTACCATGTTGGTTTATTTTCCCTTTCTAATCCATTTGCATGTCCTCAATGTTCGGGTGTCGCAAGTTTATTAGATTAGGGAATAATGGGTCCTTATAAGAAGTGATAGACTGTTACATGTTGATTTTTGCTGATTCTGGATTTTTTATCACCATCTCGATCAATAAACCTTTTGAGTGTAGGCAGTGATAATTAGAAGTACTGCATCGCAGATAAATATTGACATAGCTCTGTGATTTTGTAATGAAGGCATTTTGAAAACTTTTCTTCAATTTGTAGTTTGTTTGATGCACTAGCGAGATGTTCAAAATTTAGTAGTAAATAGTTCCTCAAATCTTGTTTGTATTTATGAAATTCGAAGGTTCTCATCCGATCATTTGTACCTGCATTTTTTAGGACATACACATGTTGCTGAGGCTCTGAAAGTACCACTACACATATTTTTCACAATGCCATGGACGTAAGTTGTTAAACATTTCTTCTTCAGCACCTCTACATTTTTTATCCTATGGAATTTTCTGAATGATTATTTCATTTTCAAAAAATGGAAGAATGAGTTCGAGTTTTCCTGATTGAGAAAAAGAAAATATGGGGTGCTTCAAATTATTTTTCTTATGCAGTGCTGCCTGTATCATAGGGTTTGCACTGTTGGTCTAAGAGCATGTTTGTCTAAGCTTAAAAGTTCACATACAAGATTACTTAGAAGTATATAAGTAAGTTTATAATAAATTTTTTTATTGTTGGTTGAAGTTGGAAATAAGTAATTTGCGAATTCAACTTAACAGTTACTTTTAAAAATAGTAACTTCTCTTGTAAGTACGAAAAAAATAAGTTTTTAAAACGTGTTTGAAGACAAAAAGTTTTAAGTAACTTTTACTATTTTTCAGCATAGCAGACATGCTAAATAAACTTTCATGTCATCTGTTCAATGTTGAGAATTTTTTCAATTAAATTTCCTTTCTATGATAAATGACTTCTTTGCTCATTTTTCCTATCTTCTTTACCTGTAGCCCTACCAATGAATTCCCACACCCACTTTCTCGCGTTAAGCAACAAGTTGGATACAGAGTGAGCACATATTAATACTTGTGTATATCCTTTTGTTTGGCATATTGCAGAATAAATTTTCATAGATTGATTCTATGTTCTAAGAAGTTTGTTGCTAATTGCAGATATCATATCAAATTGTTGATTCACTAATCTGGCTGGGAATACGGGACATGATAAATGAGTTCAGGAAGAAAAAACTTAAGCTAAGGCCTGTTACATATTTGAGTGGTTCCAATAATTCTCCTGATGTACCTTATGGCTATATTTGGAGTCCTCACCTAGTTCCCAAACCAAAAGGTGAGTCTTTCTGTTCCTATAACATAATAGCAATGGTAGTTGAACATTATATTTCGTGTGAATATTTAAAGTAAGTTGAAGCCTTAGTTTACGAGTAGATTTTTCAAGATATCAGGGGTTAAACTCCATTCCAAAATATGCATTTTATTGTACTCTAATGGCCAAGAAGCAAGAACTCAATTACAGAGGAAGGAGGCCTTAATTTTACACAACTTAAGTGCCTCCTGGGATTTCTAATCTAAAAAATTATTTCGAGTCCTTTCCAAATTTTAGTACATTATGTATATGAATTTCTCTCTATTTTCAACATTTGTTTTTCTCGTTTTCAATGCCAGAGTAATATGAGGTTGAGGGAAGTTAAAGGAGTTATATTTCGAATTTGAAACCAAACGCCCTCCTACTTATTTCCAAATGCTATCTGTACCAGTTTCTAACCGTTATCAAGTTGCATAGAATATAAAGCGATTTTTTGTTCTGCTATTAGTTTCAAGATACTTATTTTTGCATTAGTTAAGGAATGCGAAGTGCTAATATTGGTTTGTTCACCTCACAAGTATTCTTTTCCCAGCTCTCTCATAACTCTTGTGAAAACCATGGGAGAACCTTTTATTTTATTTGAGAACCAAAACAAACCTCCTCACGTCTCACTTACTCTCAAAATGAAATTTCCTCAACATCTAGTGAAGAAGGCCTCAGTTAATATGGATTAGCATTGACGGATTTGGCAGTGGGCTCTACTAGGCTGTAGCCCACTGCCCCCAAAGTCAAGGTCCAAGAAAATAAAACAAATTTATGATAAATGGTTTTAATTTTTAGCGTATAGTCCACCAACAATTAATACCACTTGGCAAGCCCAGTCTAAATCTTAAAACTAATTATTTGTTTTGTTTTAATTTTTGGTCCAATTCTTAAAACTAACTTTGTTTAATTTTAGTCGAATTCCATCACTGGCTCATTTGATTCCTCTCTTTTCTTCTTTCTTCAAAATTCAACCTTAGGCGTCATTTGAAATTTTTGAATACCAAATTGAAATTCCCAAAAAAACCCTAAATCTTCCATCTTAAATGATGTTCTTACTATCCCTCATGAATAAAGTCATTTTGTGAAATTTTCCAATTTTTACATTGTCACGGAAACTCATTGTTGCCTATTATAGTTGAAACAATTCTAGGTTACCACTTCTTTTTGGAAATAAAAAAAATGTAGGCAAGAAATTCTGGAATTTATTTCATTTGCAACATATGCGTGATGAGTAGGCTACTGATATCAAATTTAGATTCTTACAATATGAATTAATTTAAGTTGGGAAGGAAAATAGAGAGATAAGAATTTATGATTTGGTATATGATGAATTTATAATTCTTACAGTAGAGGGGTGTGAATTTATGAATTAGGAACGAAGATTTTAAGTTCTAAACTCTTACAATATGAACGAATTTATGATTATGATTTTATCAATTTATGTTTATGGGATATTGACATATTGAGTTTTGATTTTTATGTTTTTAGTTTTGGATTTTAACATGGAAGAAGATCGACCTTCTACCAAGAAAGAAGAACCGTGCTATCTTTCTTTTCAAAAAGTGATAAATCTAAGAATACAACTGTAATAGCTAATATTGTATTACGACTTTTTTGATATATTTGAATTTTATTCATACATTAAATTTTTAAATTTTTTTTTTGCCCCCTCGTAACGTTGATTCCTGGCTCCGCCCCTGTGGATTAGAGTAATATTATTCTCACACATCATGTCATATCAATTTGAAAAATGGTGAATTGCCCGTAGTAGAATTAACACGAGATAATCAAACCAAGCCTTTTCCCAATAAATTTGTAGTCAGCTAGATAAATCCTTTTTCCTCCAGTTTGTTTCCAACATGTTTATTGTCAAGTTATAAATCTCAATATAGCAACTCTGCCTTCCATTGATGTGAGAATGAAAAAATATGTATGAGGATTTATTAATGGCAACCAGGTGAAAATAAATAAATTTGTTGATACTTTTTTGTTTTTGAAGGTTGGCAGGTATTTTATTATTATTATTATTTTGACGCTGTTACCCAATATATTTGGAGGCAGCTAACTTTGTTAAAATATTATGATTATTCCAACATGTTAATCATAAAGTCATATATCTTGATATGGCAGTTCCACCTTCCATTGATGTAGGAATGATAAAATACATAAGAGGATTTTTTGAAGTAACTAGGTGACAATAAATAGATTTATTATTACATTTTTTTTTTTTTTGAAGGTTTGAATGCTTCTTTGTTGACATTGTTAATCTGGATGTATCAATGGATTTTTTATCACTGATTAATTTTCTTGTCTGTTTATTCAAACAATTGATTTGCCTCTCAATAACAACATTTTAATTTTTAGCATTCTTATAGCCTTGCATTTTCATGGCTGCAGATTGGGGACCCAAAATTGATGTTGTGGGGTTTTGTTTCCTGGACCTTGCTTCGAATTATGTACCACCAGATTCACTTGTGAAATGGCTTGAAGCTGGCAAAGAACCCATTTACATTGGTTTTGGCAGTCTTGTAAGTTTCATGCTTCGGCTCCCTTCTTCGACTTATATGAAGTGACACCCCCTCCCCTCCCCTGCCCCACCCCACCCTCCTATCCAAAAATGAAGAAAATATCTATTATGTTGATTGTAGGAGTAGATCAATCACTCTTCTTTAATGGTTCATTCGGTGACAGAGCGAGCAATGCTGCCTCAAACTTGGGTGTGTGTGACTTACCTACAATGAACTGGTTGGGAGATGAAGAGGCAGAAATACAGTATAAGATATAAGTTGAAACCAACTCATTAAAACATAGGTTATTAGAGATGGGAAGAATTATTTATCCATAATTATATCTTCAACATGTCGCTTGATGGGTAAACCTGATATTTTTAATGAAATGCTTGACGCGTGAGATTTCGCGATTGGGTTGCAACGAGACCTAAATCAGGACAATTCCATGCTTTGATACGATGTTTAACCTCCTTTACTAAAAGCTTGATCTATAAGAACAATATCCATTGATATCTTCTAGTTAGGTGTTGTTTGGTTTGATAATGGGTCTGCCGATCATTATGGAAATTAGCTGAAAGTAAGCTTTCCAGATTTTATAATGATTTTCAAACATACTATAGCTTGAGTTTTCTCAGTGGTTTTGTCGTATCCTGAATATGATATCAGCTTGTGAAGAAAACGTGATGCTCAAGTTTATATCTTGCTTACGGTCAATTGTCAGATATGACATTCCTTCTCTTCTCTGATAATGAATAAAGAGACATCACCTAGCAAGAGAGATAACAATAATATTAAAATGGAGAGTCATAAAAAACTTGGTCTTCATAGAGATGAAAAAATTAAGTTTTTATTTCTTGTCTACAGCCTGTTGAAGAGCCAGAAAAGATGACTCAGATAATTGTTAAAGCTCTCGAGAATACTGGACAAAGGGGCATCATTAACAAAGGGTGGGGTGGCCTTGGAAACCGTATGTGTCAACACTTAAATCTCTATGGGTGCAAGCGCACATGATTTTTCCTTGTGTTTTAATCATTGCTTGACACTCCATACCTAATCTTCTTCTCAGTGGCGGAGCAAAAAGACTTCATCTATCTATTGGATAATTGCCCCCATGATTGGTTGTTTGCTCGATGTGCTGCAGTGGTAAACCACTTCGTACTAACTTCATAAAAGGATAAGGATGAACATATATGAGCATGTTTAGCCAAGCTTAAAAGTTCGGCCTATAATTAAGTTTTAAAATTATTTTTTATATTGGTCAAAGTTGGAAAACATTAAAAGTTGCATAGCATAAGTGATACTTTCAAAATTTATGAACTTTTTTTCTACTTATTTATAAACTCAGCCAAACATCCTCATTAAGCATTTCTTTTGCATACCCTTTTTGTTTCACTCTTGCGAAGTTCACGTTATTTGTTGCATATTTCTTCAGGTGCATCATGGAGGTGCTGGAACAACTGCAGCTGGTCTTAAAGCTGCGGTAATTATCATGCTCTTCGATAACTTCCCTGGAAGTTCTTTAAAATTTCTAGTTTAGGATAATTTCTCTTGCCTATTTATGTTCTCGTATTACTGCCTTATAGTGCCCGACAACTGTTGTACCTTTCTTTGGAGACCAACCATTTTGGGGAGAGCAGGTGCATGCCAGGGGAGTAGGCCCCTCACCAATCCCTGTGGATGAATTTTCCCTTGAAAAATTGGTTGCGGCAATAAGGTTCATGCTTGATCCAATGGTATGTTATTTCTTTTAAGATTTAATATCTTGAAGAAGCTATAATATAGTTTTTGAACACAATTTATTGTAGCTCATTGACTTTCTAAAATCTTGATTGAAGTTTGTGGAACACTGCTTAACTCTTTGTCAATTTGTCGCTTCTTTCATTTTACTCTGAATAACTTCGTTTGGGCATTTATGAAACCTATAATTGATTTTGTGGGTCATCTCCATAACACTTATTTGTTTGTACCAACCGAAGTTTTAAATTCCCGAATTTTATTCACGAGTCAAAATCATCCTCTCTTATGGGGTCCCTGTTGAAGTTGAAAAACTTGGTGGTTAGTTAAACCAATGTGTAAGGATAGGTGGTTGTTGCTTGGTATGTTACCACATGTGCTATTTCCAATCACAAGAACGATAATAAAGAAATGAAGAACAGAAATATACGCAGACACGGCTTATAGTAGTTCACATCGATGTGAAAGTCAAGTCAAATCATTGTTGACTCCAGGTTCACATTAAAATCAAGAAGAAGTTTACAATGGAGATCTCATATCTCACACTTCTCAATCTGTACCCTCTACAACCACTTCCAAGTTCAAAATTCCATGATGGTCAATCTGCAGTTGAGGGGTTAGGTAGAATGTATAATTAGGTTTCACAAAGTCCGACACCAACTTTTCTTGCCACTTAGAGCAGCTTATCATAAAAACTTGATTCCAGTGAGTAATAAGTAATTCAATGAGAGAGGAACGGTGAAAGGTTAATGTATTATGAGCACTTTTGTGAAGATAAATAAATAAACTCAGTCTGTGTATCTATGCTGGCTGGCTAGCTGGTATGTTTTGGGGTAAAATTTCATAATGTTCATATATGAATATATTTTGTATTGTATGCAGGTGAAAGAACGTGCTTTAGAATTGTCTAAAGCCATGGAAAACGAAGATGGAGTGGCGGGTGCAGTTCAAGCCTTCCATAGACACTTCCCACGCGAAAGCCTGAAATCGGAGGCTGAAAAGTCGCGTCAACCTTCTAATTCGTTTTCTTTGAGACGCTGTTTTCGTTGTTCCTGATTTTTGAATATTATGCATCATAATTTTGTTTTCATCAGTGCAATAACTATCTTATTATGGGAAAAGGATTTTCGATCTCTTTTGTTCCCTCCATATTGTCGCCGTCTACACTAAGGGTGTGTTTGATTAATTTATTTTCCATGGAAAATATTAGTTTTCTACTCAAATTCATACTTGGGGTGTTTGATTGCTATTTTTTTCCATGGAAAACATTTTTCAACTTTTAAAAATATACCTATTTTTCCTTGTTTTCAAGGAAAACATTTTCTTTGGGTGGAGGTGATTTTTGTTTTCTTCAAAATAAGGAAAATATTTTCTTTTTTAGGTAATATTTTTCATGTCAATCAAATATACTCTAACTAGTTCTTGATGGGTTTCTCAAGACAATCAAGGATGAATGGGATTGGTCTAACCTCGACAACTTCAAAGAAAATGATAGCTTGTTTCACTTTGTTCTATATGTTATTATGTTAAATAACATTGCCCTCCGGGGCATAATCCAGTNTTTTTTGAAGAAACTTCCCTAGTCGACTAGTCATCACGATTGGACTTGGTAAAAGTTAAGATTTGAATATATCTTTTTGCTTCAATAATATAGTATATAATTTGCAGACTCATTTGGCAGTATTTATGCCTTTGCTTCTGGTTCTTATAGAAGAGTTTTTTTGCTATTTTAGATCAACTTTTATTAAAGGTCCTAGTTAGAAGATTATTAAAATACATTCAAAATATTTTCTTACTTTCAAAAATAATTTTTGACTTTTCAAAAGTCGTGTCAAAATGGTTTTATGTAACTGTACATCTCAACTCGAACAATTTTAATTCGACTTAAGAGCTTTGCATCAAAATTAGATGTAACTATCTAGAATAATAGTATTCATGTTCAGTCCAAAACTATTTCAGTACTTGATTTGAAGGGATTACAGCAAAATCAAGAGAGAAAATTACCAGAAAATAAACTAAGGAAACATGCTTTCCGCACAACAATTTCACTACAACAAATCAATTCCTAAATATATATGTTAAATGTAGTAAAAATCTAATTGAAATTTTGATCCACTTCATGTGTAGAATATATATTACCATTTTCATCCTTAAATCTCACTCTGATTTTTGTATTGTCACAACCCCCTGGCATAACATATCCATCTTGAGATCCAGCATTGCTAAAACCAACCCTTCGACTGGATGATTCTACATACCTACTACTGCTTGAACTTGAACAACAATCTGCTTCTTCAGAATCCCACTCTTTTGATTCTGTAATTTTATTTAGGGAACTTGCTAAATCCTCTTGTTCACTGTCCATATGTCGATTAAGATCTTCGGTGTGTTCACTTGATATTTTCGAGCTTGGAGATGGGGTATGCGTCGAAAGAAGCTTAGGAAGGATACCAAGAGGTGGAGCCATTGCTAAGAAACTAAGAGTAGCAACAACGTCACCTATAAAGGGACGGACTGATGGATCTTCCTAAAGACACATGGCTGCAACTCCGACTGCTTGATTTAAGCTTGTCACTGGAAATTCCCGATTGAGAAGTGGATCTACCATTTCTGGAAATCTCTTCGGGTCTCTGAAAAAAGATTGTGCTTGTTCATTGACATGCACAATGCTGAAACAGTTCGACAAATGCACATAGAGAATAGGGCTGCTTGTTTTGTTCCAAAGTGGTCATTGAAACTTGCTTATTGTGTATGATTTGATAAAGTTTGGGGACTAACATGAAATGAGCAAATCATGATCTATTGTACGTACCCAGGTAACTAAATTTTGCTCATTAATAGGGTGTGCATTGTCAAAGGCTCTACGTCCTGTGATAAGCTCAAATAAGACAATTCTAAAACTGTATACATCTGATTTCAGCGAGAATTCGCCTTGTCTTTTGTACTCTGGTGCAGAGTAACCATAAGCTGCCATGACCCTCGGCGTTACTTGTATCTTGTTCCCACTCTGTACAAGCTTGGCAAGCCCGTAATGGGAGAGTCTTGGGTTCAACTCTTGGTCCAACAAGATATTCGAGGATTTTAAAGTGTGATATATGATGGGGGATATGCTTTCTCATGTAAATATTGAAGTCCTTCCGCAACACTTGAAGCTATTTTCATTCTAGCCGACAAATCTAATAATTTTTTCTCTGTTGAAGCGTTTACAAAGATGAATAAAGAATCTATTTCATTCCAAGAAAACAACATATCAAATCTTAGCTAGATGGTTGGAGCATGTTGTTGTTAGTATTTAGCATCGAAAAAGAAAATTTTGCATATACCGAATAGGTAATCCTCTTGAGATCCTGATGGCATGTATTCGTATACCAAAAGCCTCTGATCCCCATCAGCACAATATCCAACGAAAGAGACCAAATTCGAGTGGCGAAGGAGACTCAACATCAAAACCTCGACTAGAAATTCCTTTGTTGCTAGTGTCCCACTCCTGTCTAGTTGCCTCACGGCCACAACCTATATATGATTAGCAGAAATTAAGGCTGCCTGTCTTGTTTAAAGTGAAATTGTTGAACGTATAATAAAGAAAAGTTTTAATCTGTATCACCCGGGCAGTTGGCTGAAGAGTCCCCTTAAATATTCGTCCGAATCCACCTTCGCTCAATAGACATTCTTGAAGAAAATTCTTGGTCGCAGTGGCAAGTTCGCGGAAAGTGAAAATCTTTCCCGTGTCATTAATTTTGTTCTCTACTTGAGAAAAATTATGTTTCCATTGGAACTGAAGTATCTTTCATGTTTGTTAAAAAGCGCATTTCGAAACGCAGGACTATGCATGCATGGGCGTGCGTACCAGCAGCAGGTGGGGTTTGCGGAATGATCTCTTTGGCCTCAGCAGCTGCCTTCTTCTTCCTGTAAATATTCTGAACTCGAAAACACGGGAAGCATCTCATTTCTTGGCTTGGCTGGCGCTTTCTGATGTCGAAAATATAATTTGAAAAAAAAAAAAA